AAAGGATTGAAATTAAAAACTTGTTGCTAACTTAACAAATGCAGCAATTCACTTGAACAGCTGCGACAAGGAATGTCGTAAGACAGGGCAAAACTCACTCAACCAATATTTCACTTAGCAGCAGAAATGTTGGCAAATTGTGGACTACCTGTATTTCGAGCCCGACCCTCTTTTGCCGTAAGTTTTTAATTTCAATCCTTTTGTTTAAAAAAAAAAAAGACACCACAGAATGATTTTCCTAAAGATTGCACAGTATCTGCTGGTTCTTTTCCATCACATTTAAGTTTCTCTACAGTTGATTCAAAGGGCTGAAGGCATGATTTTTTTTTTAAATAAAGTTTTTTTTTATTCTACTGCTTGAAAAAAGTCAGAGGTCACCATTTTTGGTCATTTTTCTTCTTTCTTCCTTCTTTGACCTTGCTAACTTTTGTTTCTTTTCATACTTTGATTATAAATTCGTTTTTAAAAGGAAGAAACTGCAACCCCCACTTCAAGAGGTGAAGAATTCAATCACCTACTTCAGCCTCGAAGATGAAGCCAAACTGTTTTGTATGGGAAAACTACATCGACATGATCATATAAGCCTTTGCAGGAGTGGGAAAAACCACAGATGTTAGCATGGGAAACCAACCAGATGTTGCACTGAAGAATGGAAAAGGAACTGAGGACAGGGTCATTGGTGTTCAATACCGACATTACGGCATTGGATTGATAAAAGTGGCGTTACTGATATGTATTGGTTGCATTTGAGCCTCTCTCACTATGTCCTTCTGCCATTCTATATGGAACGGCAAATGAAATTCAGCTCCGGCATTATTATATCTCATAACCCAGCGTTGCTCGGGTATTTATTTATCCTAATCCATACATTTGTCCTCAAAAATAATCTCAGACCAAACGTAATTGCTAATGTTGGATTTTCCTTCCTTGCCAGAGGGTGACCCCTTGTGGAGTACTATGAAGCCATTACCGTGGCAACTCTACTGCGCTGCAGAAGCCATTTTACGGCAGTACGGTAGAAGCCATTTTAAGGCACAACAAGCTGTATCTTAACAGAACGCACACCCCAAGGATGTCTTACCCCCCACAGTATTTGTTTCCAGACACTAAGTCATATGTGTACCAAGTTTGGTTGAAATTTCTCGGTGTTCCAAAGTTACACTGGAACATGCATACACACGCACGCCCGCACATACACAGCCATTTATTGCAAAACTCTTCCAAATATTACGCACAAGTTTGGATTCATGCAGCTGCACAGAAGTGATTGAAAGAGCTGTGTGATTACAACAAAGGAAAGCAAGCCAGAGAAACAGATGTACAGCTACCTGTTGCAACTATCAAAACTACTACCTGTTACTTAACTGGAACCAAGAGACTTCTGAAGATGTGAAAGCAACTTAAGAGTAAGTGAGCCCCTGGATCAACTGAACGTGTAAAACCCCTTAGTATGGTGGAATGCAATAAAGAGGTAGATTTTCCGGAGGGAGAGATTACATTCCAGAGGAGTAAGAGGCAGATCAGCCTGGATATCACGTGTGAGAGAAAGAGGGCNCTATTCTATTCTGTTCTATTCTATTCTGTTCTATTCTATTCTGTTCTATTCCATTCCACTCCATCCCATTCCATATCTCTATTCTATTCTGTTTTATATTCTATTCTGTTCTCTTCTATTCTAGCACTGATGATGTTACTTAGTTGGGTAGTGAAAGGTCTTCCAGAAAGAATCAAGTTCAGAGATGACCAGTAACCCCACAGTCCTCCTCCCCCTTCCAGCACTGATGCTGCTACTGTGAATGTAATGGAAATGTCTGTAAGAAAACAGCCCAGTGCGCAGTTCTGTCTTCCTTTGATTCTTTTTCTGAGGCAACCGAGCCTCAGAGACAATGCAGAATGTGATGACCATGGAACAGCAGCAAAAGATATTGTGTGCTTCCTCCTTATGGTAAGAACACACCACCACGGACAGAATGCTACGGTCGAGAAGAAGCAGACGGCTCCAGATTCCTTTTTTTAAAAATCCACTGTGGTGTGTCCAGGGAGGCTTCCCCATCCCCACAGCTACATAATTGTGCAGGAATGAGGCTTTACTTCTAACAAGGGTTGTGTGGCATAATTGTGCACGCACGCACCGAATATTTAGTTCCCCTCGAAATGTTTATTCGACATTTTGAACCTTGCAAAGCCAGAAGCCTTCCAATGGCTCCCCTCCGTTTAAAAAGCAAAGCGGAATTTTAATCCTTTTTTTCTTTAATTCAGGGTTGTGAACTCATTTTCAACCGAAGCCACTTTTCAGCTTCGGTGCATAGAAACCTCAGTCGGCTAGAAAGCCAAGTATTTCTCTACGAGGGCACTCCGACCACAAGAGCTGGGCACACACGCAAAACTCTTGCCTGCCAGGGCAACAACAAGCACCGTCATCACGGCGGTCAGGAGGGCAACCCAAAACTTCCTGAGGGAGACACAACTTTGGAGGACAAGTTGACCAACGTGTTGACCTGCGTCATGGGAGAGACCCAGATGGGGAAGAACTGAACCAAACCAGAGAACCCCAAAGCTTTTTTTGTCAAGGAAACAAGGGGGGGGGGGAATCTGAACAGGGATGGGCCAGAAATGGTGCCACAGGAAGATATTTAGAAAACTCAGAACTTTAAAAAAAAAAACCTCCTTCCAAGATCATTCTAGAAATAAGAAATCAGATATAAGAGAGAGAGAGAGAGAGATAGAGAGAAGGAGAGGGAGAAGAGGAGAGAGAGAAAAAGAGAGAGGAGAGAGAAAGAGAGAAAGAAAGAGAGAGAGAAAAAGAGAGGAGAGAGAATGAGAGAAAGAAAGAAAGGAGAGAGAGAGAGAGAGAGAGAGAGAGAGGGAGAGGGAGAAGAGGAGAGAGAGAAAAAGAGAGAGGAGAGAGAAAGAGAGAAAGAAAGAGAGAGAGAAAAAGAGAGGAGAGAGAATGAGAGAAAGAAAGAAAGGAGAGAGAGAGAGAGAGAGAGAGAGAGAAGGAGAGGGAGAAGAGGAGAGAGAGAAAAAGAGAGAGGAGAGAGAAAGAGAGAAAGAAAGAAGGAGAGAGAGGAGAGAAGGAAAGAGAGAGAGAAAAAGAGAGGAGAGAGAATGAGAGAAAGAAAGAAAGGAGAGAGAGAGAAGAGAAGGAAAGAGAGAGAGAAAAAGAGAGGAGAGAGAATGAGAGAAAGAAAGAAAGGAGAGAGAGAGAGAGAGAGAGA